GTTATAATTACTCAGTGACTAAAGATTATATAATTTATTAAATAATACTAACTTCTTGATGTCCAGCACCAATTTTTAGGAGTAATAAGTCAATAATCCCCACGTGACCTGTTTTAGCAGCGAAATGTAATGACGTATTGCCCTCATCATCGGCCAGAGTTGCTATTGAAAAATGCAATTTCAAACAATAATTAAGAACAACAAATTACGAATGAAACTAAGATATATGTTTGTAGTTGCTAAAGAGCTAATGGCTTACAGCTCAAGAAATTCATTAATCAACAATTTCTATGTGAAAAAAAAAAAAAAATTAGTAATGTTGTTGAATGCATAGAATATTATGCTTATGCACAATTTAAAATTTTCTAAAATCAATAAGAAGTTTGAAAAACAAACGATCGGCATCAGCTTCTAGAAGTGCAGAAACAATACTGATTTGGCCTTTATTGCTGGCCAGATGCAAAGGTCGATCTCGTACTCCACCACAAGCATTTGGATCAGCTCCACGTCTCATAAGCAAACGTACTATCTGCAATGTAGCAATTTATCAACAAAAAAAAAAAAAGAAAAAAATAAAAGAGTGATATCAGTCATGAATTAAAATTTTGTAAGATAAAAACTTATCTTTCTAGTCTCAGCTAAGATAATAACCAAAATATTTCATACCTTTTCATGAGCAAAATAAGTGGCACAATGAAGTGGAGTGAAATTTACAAAGTCAGCAATTTGTAATGAAGCACCTCGATCGATCAGCTTTTCTACCATCTCAATATTACCACACATTACAGCCAGATGAAGTGGTGGTAATTTGTTGCGACCGGAGAAATCAACATTTGCTCCAGCTGCTAATAGCTTTTCCATTGTTTCAATTTCATCCTAATAAATATAAAAATTATGTAATTAGAAAAACTTCACTAACAAAGACTTATTTTAAATTTGGAATTCTGATGACAAAATACAAAAATTTGTTACTGGAATATCTTATAAGCATGAAAATAATTTCGTCTGGGCAAAGAGAAATAAGTTAATCGACGATTGCTTGATGACAAGAATTAAAAAATGACTAAAGCAATTAAATGAATTTAAATATACCAAATATATTTCCAATTTGTAATTATTTGTCAGTAATAAATTGAAAGGTAAATCACTTGTTAGTAGCTATTGATCGTTTAAAAATAAGTTCACACAATTACTAGAGTAGTTAAGATAAAGAATATGTATCAAATGATATCTTACCTTGTAGACAACGAAATGAAGAGCAGAAAAGCCATTTTTTGAGAGATGTTTGAGAAGTGATTCCTTTTTCATATCATCATCACCACATGCTTCAAATAGAATGGCAACCTTTTCAGATTGCTGAAATAAAATTCTTAAATTTTAATTTCAAAAAAGTTATATTGAAAAAGGACACGGAAAACACTCACAAACTGATTCATGATTATAGAGCTAAAATTAAAGATACCTGTTCCGAATGTCCAGCACAAATGAGATGCAATAATGACAACTGATGGTCTTCAGTGCGTTCATCCAGATTTTTTAAACTTTTCAACGATTCTTCCAACGTTTTTAGTGTACCTTGACTAAAATAAAAACAAAAAAAAAAAAAAAGGTGTTATTTGCTATCATCAACAATTGTTATTTGCATTAAAAAAAATTTTTTTTCGGATTTCGAAAGATTATACTTTCCAAAAAAAACATTAAATAAACTTTTTTTTTTTCAGATTTATCTACGAAAATAAGATAAAATTAACATCTTAATCTAAAGATCTAAACTTACAAGCATGCATTTTGCAGCATATTCCAAGCATCAAAACGTGGCTTAATATCATCATTGAGCCTTGATCGTACCACAGCATAGCCTTCACTAATTTTTTTCTTTAATTCATCTGGAAAAAAAGTTAACTTTTTAAAATGGTTCTATCATATGACCTTTTTCTAATTCATCCTATCATATATCACAGCCATATGACTTTTTTTCTAATAAAACTATTCGAATCATATGATTTATTATATTAAATAAATGAAAAAATTGCTTGCATTATTAAATATATATATATATATACATCAATCTTTTTTCCCGCATTTTAACTTTTATTAAAAATAAAGTTTTATTTCTAACAAAAAAAAAAAAAAAAAATGAAAAAATGAAAAGCAAATATAACCTGCGCATGAAGATGGTGGACGTGACTTATAATTACCCATAATTTTTATAAAATATCAAGAAATGACATAATTTAGAAACAAATATTACATTTATTAAATCTAATAATGAATAATATAAAATATTTATTTAATAAAGTTAGCAAATATTTTGAATATTATAGCTAAAAGAGTAGATGCAGATAACACTGTTGCTGGATAGACAAGATAGATAGATGCAAGCAAACAATTTTCACTCAAATTTCACAAACTTCTCAAACTGCTCTTCTGCAGATTTCCTCTTCATCTTCTTCCTCTTCTTCTTCTTCTTCTTCTTCCTCTTCCACTGCTACTATATCTTTCTTCCACTCTCTACAATGTGCGCTGATGGATGATGATAATGCCGCCTTTGTTTAGTTTATCATAGGCTGTAATTACATTTATGCAGCACCATAAAAATTATTTCTTATATTTCAAATTTGAACAAACATTAATAAATGTTTATCAGCGGAGTGATAAATATGAAAAACTGCTAAAAATATTACTTTAAAAAATAAGTAAAAGTGATATTTTAAACTTTTTTTTTATTATCACTTAATTTTTGAATTAAATTCATTGATGGATAACTTAAATAAAGCTAATATTTAAAAAAATAAAAAACCTGTCTGAAACTGTAGTCCAAATTTTATTTGTGCATCTTATGTTCTTCCACAAATAGCACAAACTAAAAAAAATATTTTTATGTTTGTGCATTTTATGTTAATGTTATTTGCAAAAAATCATATTATTAATTTAAAAAAAAAAATAAAACAAAACAAAATAAAACTTTTTTGAATTTATAGCCAAAAAGTCAAAATATGTATGAGATGTTGTGGATAACCTCAAAATAAAATATATAAATATTAAATTACCTAGTGCAAACTTAATGCGTGATAATTCTCTAAATACTTTTTTAAATTCAGTTACTTTAAAGGATATCTTCAAAGATTCTGACTCAAATAATTTGAAGATTTATTCCTCATTACTCTTCCTATATGCTAACTAAAGAAGGTTTAAAAATTTTTAGTGTAATAATCCGTTGTTTTTTCTTACTAAAATCTAAACTTCAATTTAAATTTTTACTTTTTTCTTTAAATTGATCCATATTTTCAATCAAAATGATCATTCGATTACAAAATATCGTATAACGACGATTAATCGTAGCATGAGCACAAAAAAAAAAATTTGGTAGAAATTGATCAATAGTATAAAATCATTATACCTGATTTAGTTGTATCACAGTACGATGCACTAATTAAATGCTATCGGCAAGGTTAGCAACTATTAAATGACAAAAAAGGAATAAAGTGAATGAAATTGTCAATTCTGTATATTTTGAAATCTATTTTAACTTAACTATCATTTTTTAAATTTCATCCAAAAAATGAATGAATAGCAAGAATGATATATTGCTCCCATGAAGTGCTTCTTCATCATTTTTGTACTGTTCAAATGAATCAGGAAATGCTGTTTGTTAGACGTTCCTCTTCACGTAATAGTATTAGTGATACTATTAAATTTGTAGTGCGCAATGAAGTTGTTCAAACCTTTATGGTAAATCTTAAATTATTACAGTGTTTAGAAGTTTAAAATTAAACTATATTTTTTAATTTCAAAAGTAAACATCAAAATTTTAGAGAAGTCAGTCTGTATCAATTTATTTAAAACAATTATATTAATATGACATAAACAACATTACATAATATACATATGAACAACAAATAAACATGCCACAACAGTGCAATAAAAAGTATATGAGATATAAGTAAACAAAAAGGAAGAATTCAAAAAAAGGAAAAAAAAAAACCGATTCCTGTTAATCGAATCACATTTATAAAAACCAAATAGTTTCCACAGTTCTGAAATACCGGAAATTTCTAAATTTAATAATAAATCATTAAAAAGATAGAAATTAATTATAAAGCAAAAAACAAAAAATAAATGAAAAATAAGAAGGATAATTACAGTAAATGAGGCAATATTAAGGTGGAAAAATGAGCTTTTAAAAGTAAAAGATAAGAAATAATAACAGGAAATCGAAGCTGAAAAAAAGATAAATGATATACTGCAAAGTGCTCTCTTATCAAACTGATAAATTAAAATTGCTGCTGTTTAATAAACAAAAATGTTTCGGAAAAAAAAGTAGCAATGTATGAAAATAAATAAGTTATCAATATGTACAAATTATTACTGCAGTGCAACGTATTGATAATTTATCTTATTGCTCCCTCCGTTAATTGATCCTAATAGTCAACAAAGTATTCTATCTACTAAATATCTGTCACAATAGAATAAATAAACTCAAGCATCCTTAGCCATTATTCTAAACAATTGAGGATCAAGAGAAAGGAGAAAGATAAGAGGAGTCTCCCATCAATAAATCAAAGTTTTATAAATTTTTTATATAAATAATAAAATTTTTTATATAAATGATAAAAAAAAATAAAAATTATATATATATATATAATTATTAGTTTTATAAATAATAAAAAGAACAAATAAGCAAATAACAAATAAAAGAGGAAAAAAATTATACACACAACCATTTAAGAAACTTTTTTTTTTAAAACAAATAAAATAAACATTGAACACAAATGTAGGAAATGTCCAACAAATTTTCTCATGATAAATTGATAGAAGGAGCTAAAGTTTTCAGTAATTTTTGAATTGGAAAAAAATTAAAAGATATTTGTTTTAGAAATTTGTCTTACAGCAATGAAAGAAAAGTGATCAATGTTCATATATAATATAATTCGTTAATATTTATGACTTGGAAATGAGATAAAATCGTTGGAGATGCATTGTCAGTAGCAAGCTTATTGCTACAAATCACTATCATCATCATAACTTTTATCACAATAACCATTATCATGATAACCACTGTAACTAGCTATTCCAGTCATTGCTGACATTATTTCCCGTTGTACATTGGTATTTACTGCAGTCTTTACCAGTTCTGATACCTTCTCCAAAACACGTGATATTTGAAGTTGATGTTCAACTGATTTCTGAAATAATTTCGGAATAATCTCAAATGGCTTAAATTGTTTTTATTTTAGACAGATTAATTAAATAAGCTTCCATTTTACTTCTATTTCATCTTCAAAATAACCCATCCATTTCCTATCGTATTTGTTTTGGATGACTATTAACATATTAGTACAACAAACAACAAAATAAAATAAACCAACAAATAAGATTAAATGATAGCTAATTACAGTGCATTTAAACTGTTCGATATGATTATGAAATATTTTAGCTTTTTTAAAAGATTACAAGCAATATACTTAACTTTACTCAATTAGCGGTTAATAATTACCTGCAAAAGTTCATTTTTTAGCTGTTTAATTTCAGCATCACGATCAGCAATAATGGCCAGCAATTCCACTGATGACAGACCGGGATTCGCCGAAATACGCTGACCAACACTACCGGCATGATTTACGAATCCTTATAAGAATAATTCATGCTATTACTAATATTTAGACATTATAAAAATGAATGAAAAATATTATTAAAAAAGAAAAAAATATCAAGACCATTGTCCCAAGAATGCCAGGTCACAATGTCCAGCTTACTTGTTTGTCGCAATCTTTCAGAATCACAGAGAAGTACATCAGATCAAAAATCAAAAGGAAAAGAGAGAATATTAATTCCTCTTTGCAAAATCCTAGAATTACCACTTTTTTTTTTCTCAAGAAAGCATTAATTTTTAATTTTTTAGCGCAAAATGTATTAACTAAATCTTGTAAAAATACTCCACAGATCTATTCTTGAGATCACCAAAATTAACCATTTTTCAAATCCATATTAGACTTCCGATCCCTTGGTGTAAGTCGAGGTAAAAGAGTTGGTGAACCAGTTCGAATTTGAGAAGTACCAGTAATACTACCTGTTCCATTTGACACCGGAGTTACCAAACGTGTCAGCAGATCGGAATTACTCGATGATGCATCCGAATCCAAACTTTAACAAAAAAAAATAATCATCATAAATCATCCGTTTTATTTCTCCGTTTAACTGAACAGAATTATATCTACATATAGCGGCAGATAGAATTCTAATAAGTCAAAGCATAATTATTTAAGTAATCTCTCAACGTCCACTTTAATCCTACCTCCTCAATACTTCACTTCTTAAAATTAGCACTTACTCGGCCGACGCAGTTCCATTAATGCTACCCGCATCGGATCGTGATGTACCACCAGCATTGTTATTAAAACAAATCAATTGAGATTTCCTCCTATAATTTGCATAAAGTTTCTTAGTTTGTTCGATTGTTAAATCACCCAGTTCAGATCCATATTTTTCATTGGTAGAATCTGTGATTTGTTTCCAAACTTGATTACGTTCGGCATTAATATGATATAACCTGAAATAATGAACGTAAAAGTAAAACAGTCCTCGAAGAAAGTAAACATCGGTGGTCAGATTATTTCAAGGTAAATAAATTGAATAAATGTTGAAGAATAAACATATGAAAGATATATTAGTTAAAATATTGCCATGGAAATTCTCACAAAACATTGAGGAAGTTATTTAAAGGAGGCATTTATATAAAAAGACATAGAAGGAAAATTTAAAAAAATGTTACAAAAAAAAAAAAGATATTCTCAATAAATGAAACCAGTTCTTTCTTTTTTTTTTTGATTTGGAAAATGAGTAAAAGAAATGCCTAATAAAATGCTTAAAATCAAAAAAAAAAAAAAGAATGAAACGAAAAAATTGAACTAATATCAAATTAAATTATAGAAAAAATGAATCAATAAGATGGAAAGAAGAGAATACCAAGTTTAGTAAGGAAAAATACCTTGAATGGCTATCAAAAACACCATTGAATGTTTCAGCCAATTTACAAACGTACTGTCCCCGTTCCTTCTTCTGCTGATTTGCAATGACAGTAGCTGCAGCAACAGCTGCGACAGCTTGCTGTCCAGGTAATACTAAGCCATCAGTTGAACTAGATGATGATGAAGCTGAGCTGAAAATTAACTCTCTCTCTCTCTCTCTCTCATGAAAATCTATTAATTTAATGAAATTTACAGTTCACATTAAGAAAGAGAAGGAGAAAGAAAGAAAGAAAAAGGAATAGGAAATGAGAAGAAAAAACTATTTTAAATTTCAAATAAAAAATGAAATAAAAATTAACCATTGTGCAAGAAATTGCAAAAGATCTTTTGATGGTTTGTCATCTTCTCGTACAATATCTTCCATTGGTAGAGGTGCAATCTCTTCTCCTTGTTTCGTTTTTAATGTATCTAAAGATACTGCTCAAATTCTCAACAAAAAAAAAAAAAAAAAAAAAAAAAACAAAGTTAAAAAAATGTACAATCAGTCCAGCTAATAAAAGCTTTATCTCAATTTTAAATGTTTATATATTATAGTAGAACTAGAAGGTTACTTCTTGTTTTTGTAAAATTTTATCAAAATTATTCTGACACTCATTTGAGCTAAATTTCAATTTAAATGTTTGCCAATCAATAATTATCTAAAAATATAGTTGCAAATTGTTACGAAATTAAATAATTATTTTTTGAATTAAAATTAGGATGACTTACTAGTATCGCAACAAATACCATCTACTACATCATTTGCTTCTAGTAGTTCATCCACATCAATCGGTTCATCAATTTGTCCATTTGTTGTCACATAAGCTGTAGCATTACCAACTGCTGCAATTGCAGCTGCAGCTTGCTGTTGTTGCTGTTCTTTGTATGTACTTGGTATCAAATCAGAATGCATTGCATGAAATGCAAGTCCATAATTAGTTGGATCTTTGCGCTTGTAATATTTGCATAATTTTTTGCACTGCTCAAAAGTTAACGTATTCAAGTGCGAGTATTTCTTATTGATTTCCTCTGTTATTTTGCGCCAAATTTTATTACGTTCCATATTTGCAGCCGGTGAACGTGAAGCACTATCCTATAAAAGAGAATAAACAAAAGAAAAATGTATGAATTTTTGAAAAAGGTTTTTTTTTAAGATAAAAATCTCAAAATTTTCGGAAAAAAAAAAAATAGAACGAGTGAAATTCATATAGGTAAAGGGCTGAGCTTATCGGTAGTATTAATTTACTGTTTTTTTTAAGATAAAAATCTCAAAATTTTCGGAAAAAAAAAAAATAGAACGAGTGAAATTCATATAGGTAAAGGGCTGAGCTTATCGATAGTATTAATTTACTGCATGACAAGAAGAAATGTAATAAATATTACTTTAATTTCACTTCAATTAAGTATGATTTAGCTAATGTAAAGCTTTCATTTTTATTCTTTCCTTATGTTTACAGCAATGGAAAAAATATTATTTAAGAATTATTTGCAAAAAGCAAAAAGTGATAACATTGAAAAGGATCAAAATGTCAACAAACATACCACCAATGCTTCATATCGACCTGCCATTGCAACAATTTCTAAACCTCGTTCACGATTCATACGATTAATATCTGCAGCGGTTATCAAAGGTGTTTGGCTGGAATTAAATTAACAATTTAAACAAAATAAAAATTCTATTTAAAAAGTAAAAAAAAAAAAAATCAAATTTCAAGGACAAAAGCATAAAACAAGAAATGCTAGCATTTTGCTTTCACCACTAATTTCTAATATATACAAGTGTTTCTTAAATAGCCATAAATTAAAGATAATTTTGAGGGAGGTAAAAAAAAAAAAAATAAGAAATTATAAAAAAAAATTAATCTAAGCATAAAATAATGAAAAAGAAAATTTACATAGAAGAACCAAAAACTTGTGCAAGAGACTTTTCATTAGCATGCACCAAATCAGTTGTATCATATGGTGAAATAATTTGCTCGGATATTGTATCCGTTGATGGTTGCCTAGAAAAGTTTTGTTATCATTTCTGTTTAATATATTATTTTAATTACTAAATTTACTGCTCAAATTTGTTTCTTTAAAAAGTTGCTAATTCGTTTATGCAATAACTTTTTATCTTTTATTATTTTTCATTACATCAAATTTTAAGTATAAGTATGAAGTTATGAAAAGGAAACTTTAATAGATTATTTATCATTTTAGACAAACGTGAAAAGAGAAAAATTACTAGATTATAATATAAAATTTAAAGGCATTTTGTCTCAAAACGTGTTGACAAAAAAAAAAAATGAAAGTGTAACTTCGCCTGATTAGTAAATTAATTACATATCTTTAACATACCTGCTTTGTACATCATTATCTTCGGTCATCACAACTTCTACCTCACTTTTCGGCATTTTCATCTTTGGACTATAAAAAAGAAAGAAAACTTTTGTAAAGAACAAAAAATAACATGAGAATTGATTTGGATGTAATTTAGAAACAATTAATATTTAATATATAATTATAAAGTAATTATTAAAATTTGCATTAAATCATTAAATAAAAAATAATTATTCATTAAACAGGAAAACATGCTTTTTTTTTTTTCTTTTGATTAAAAAAATGAATCCCATTGGACGGAAAGAGAAGATAAGAATTTTCCGCAGGCTTTCAAACAATTAATTTGATTGTGGAAAAAAAAAAAAAAAAACAAATTCTAAACCAACTCGCAATCACTTTGTTCATCGCTGTTTGCATTGCTAGCACTTCGTTTTGTAGCCAGTTTTTCTGTTTCTGATGGTGTTGATGGTGTTGATGTTGATGTTGGTGTTGGTGATGAAGATGAAGCGGTTGGAATTTCATTCATTACTTCTACAAGATTTTTTGAGCAAACTAGACGTAAAATACGTTCAACGGCACGTGAAACACGTTGCTGTTTTTGTTGCTTTATGTCCAGCACGTTTTCTAAAAATTAAAATAATTAATTCTAGGATAACTTGATGAGAAAAAAATATATGACAGAAACCGATCCTTTTTTTTTTTTTTTAAGCATACATTTACTGGAATAGATTTGCATTGAAAATATTCTATTTGAAAGAGTAGTAATCATTAGTGAATATTATTCTGCCAAATAAAAATAATCAGTTACGGCGATGATCAAATGATACTAATCAGAGAGCTATAGAAGTAATAAGAATGTTAGAAGATGACAAGAACTACATTATCCAAAGTTTTTAGCAAGTTTTCTATTAATTTTAAAATTTAAAATCTGTTAAGTTCTGCAAATTGTCCTCTGAAATCTTGAAGAGTTTTATCTAGTCTTGAAGTAAATTACTATTTATTTTTTTTCCCTTTTTTTTTCTCTCTAAAAAAAAATTGCTTTTGTGTATCCAACAGTATATTAAATCATATTTATTGATAATTTATAAAAGATAACAGTTCTTAATTGTTATATTCAGTAAAAATTAAGTTTGTTGAGATGCAATGAATAAATTGTCGCAATAATAATTAATTTGCATAAACATTCCATTTTTTTTCATTGTTTCAAAGCAAAATCGGTGATAGTGTGCGATAATCATAGATGATGTAATGATAAAACTTAGATTTATATAATTTTAGGGACCATTTGTGGATATTAGAATATCTTATAAAAGAATGTCAAATAATCGGTTACGGAGACGATCAAATGAGACCGACCAGGGCGGTTATAGAAGGGACAATAAGAAAGATACGATATATCTATCTATGTTTCATTAATTAATTTATTCATTAGTGCAATAATGATATTTGTGTAGTAATACTTATGAGAGAGAGAGAATAAAATTTAGCTTGAATTTGAATAGATTTAAACTCAAAAGTAAGAGGTGCCAGTGGATCGAGTTATGGAGCATAAAACGCTTTGAAGGACGGAAAACTGTATCGAATTGATGGTGTGTGTTTGTCATATGAATGTTTGATGTTCGTTTGTAACGGCCGACCGAAACGGATGGAGCACAAAGGTAAAGAGAAGCGGGAAGGACAGGTAGTGGTGCGCTCGACCCGACCGATTGCTCCCATTTTCTGGTGCTCCATCCGCTATATCAGTGGTCTAAATTGTCATAAAAATCTATGAAAATTGGGGTTAGGATTTAACTCAAAAGATATTTGATGACAGATGGAATATGGAAATGAAGGAGAGTAATGAATCCCACATCAATGAGTAAAGTTTTGTAATTGATATTGCTAACAGTACTGCTGTTGTTGCTGCTATCATATCTGCTTGATAGTTTTATATGGCAGCATGCATACCTTCCCTTTTTCAATTTTGCTGCAATTTATTCATTTTGATTCGGGATAGAAAGAGCAGAAGAGCCAAAATTCATGATAAATATAAGGTGCACGAAGACATACACAGACGAACACACTTTAATCATAATTTTGTGGTTGGAGGACAGATCACGACATGCACAGAGACATGCACATGCACATGCACATGCACATGACATGGCATGACACACGCACCAACCTATCTACCTATCTTCCCTCTTTACTATTTCTACAGCCATTCCGTACACATCCCTTTCTCCACATTTTTCGAAATTTTAGGAACGAGCACAAGGAGTAGAAGCAGGAGCAGGACCTATTCCTTTCAATCGTCCATCTGCCCCTTCGTCCATCTCTTTTCTTTTATTACCATCATCAACGTTGTCATCGATCGCCGGTCGCTGTCATCATGAAAGAAGGAACTGCTGCTGTCACTGCAGTTAGAGAAAAGGATAACATCAAGTTCCGGAGCAAAAATATATCAGAAATTTCAAAAGTATCATCGTCATCATCTCATTGTCTTACTGTAACTATCTCAGGTCAATATGATAAAGTAATTAATTAACATGCAACCATAAGCAAAAAGACAAATCATATAAGTTAATCAAAATATGATTATAACATGATTTTAAATGAAGTAAATGACACAAGTAACAAAAAATTTGTAATATTACTGATAACATAGATGATAATATCAATATTAATTAAGCAACTACATTTAATATATCCGGCATCTGTATTTAAAGTCTTGAAAATATCAGTATGATGAATATTTAGAATTTAAAAATTTATATCTAAATACATTATTGAATTAAAAAAAAAATAATAATAATAAATGTGAGTAATTTCAATAATAAACATAAAAAAGGATACTTCTTGAATTATTATTATTTTTTTTTTTCAAACAGTATAACATGACTGATAGTTGCTTAGAAATACAAATTATCATAATAATATAATATTCATTATCTTTACAAATAATATCTATTGCATACATTTTTTTTTTTAACATTATCATCTTTTTTCTTATATTAAAATATTTGTAAAAATATTTTTAACACTTTTATTAACAGAATAACATTAATTAATATATGCTTTTCTTTTCCTTTATTTTTCATTAATTATAAGTATAAATGTGAAATTTTAATAAATAATTCAATTTAGTTCATCACATTTTCAACTACCGTAAGCTTAAGCCAAAGAAAAAATAACCGTTCTTGCAGCAGCAGCACCAGCAGCAGCTCTTCCAGTCATCAATTTGCAACAAAACCATTAGCAACAGTAGTACAGCAATCAGTAAATTTTAATCTTTTCTTACTATTATCACAACTATAACTACTAAAACTACCATAAACTACCGCTACTACCTGCTACCTGCTATTGCTGCTGCTACCGTTGCTTTTGAATTAATGATATTAGTGAGAGAAGTGGAAGAGAAGTGATAATATAGCTTGACGATCTTGTTTTCAGGTAAGAGAAAAGCCCATCATCTTTCTTCTATCTCCTCTTCTTCTTCTTCCTCCCTCCTACTTCTTTCTTCTTCTTCATCATCATCATCATCTCATGCTTCGGGGATAGAGTATGACAAGGGAAGTGAAGGAAATTAGCGATGATGATGAGGTGATGTCGGCGAAGTACCAACCAACCAACCACACATCATCCATCCAAAAGCCATTGCCACCAAACCTTTGTAAACCTGTTTATATGTAGTAACATGAATAGTAGTAGTAGTAGCAGTAGTAGTAGTAGTAGAACTATCAAGCAATCCACCTGATGACAATAATGATGAAGATAATCATCATCACAATTTCATTTCATTTCATTTCTTTTTTTCATTAAAGTAACAAAAATATATTTAGTTAACTGTTAAGTATTACCAAAAAAAAAAAAAACCTAAATTTCTATGAATAAATTAAATATAATACAAAAGTTTGTCAACTAACAAGATCATGATTTGATAGCAACTTGAAATTGGGAAAGGATATTTTGTTCTCATTTATTTCATCCTCTTTGATAATCTCTCTCTCTCCTTCTTTCTTCTCCCTCTCTCTTTCTTTCTTTCTCATTTCCAAGTTATTTATTCATAAATATTGAATATCATCATCGATAGATAAGACATCAATATTCATTGTCATCATCACTGTAACCCTATTATCACTACTTTTAAAAGTAAATTCAGTAATAGAAAATAAACGATCATTAATAGTTAATATCAAATTTTACATATAATAACAGTTCAAATAGTACATAATTTGTTAATGAATGAGAAATGCAAATTAAAAAATAACATTTAAAACTGTGTCAACTAGCTGTCAATCAAAAATGAACATAGTGAATTTTGTGAAATTTTTGTTAAAAAAAAAAGAAAAGAAAAGAAAGAGTGAGCAAAAATAAAATTAAACATAACTATTAAGCAAATGCTTTCAACTAGATAATATTAGCTATTTAATTGCATTATGTAAAAAAATGTAACAAATTTAAATGCTTAAAAAGTATCATATTGACTACATGGGACAGTTAATGTATACTTACTTCATGATATGTTATCTTTATTCTCTTTTGTATTTTAAATTCTCAAATTTATATTTAAACAATAAGAGCTCGGAAGAATTTGTGAAATAACCGAGAGAGAGAGAGAGAGAGAGAGAGAGAGAGAAAAGAAAGTGATATGGTTTATACAAAAGGCTGAAAAAATTGAATGATTACTTCATGATTACAACTGCTATAGGCCTTTTCTATCTGTCATGAATAATAGCAGTGAGAGGTCTGTCTCCTCTTCTAAACTAAAAATACACCCAGCATTAACTTGGCTGTTATATACTTCAGGCCTATTGCTCAAGTTCTTGGCTTATCTTCTCGTGTTGCTACTGCTACTGCTACTGCTGCTCTCGATATTATCTGCAATTCATTGCTATCTCTAAACAAAAATCCATAAAATGGGAAAAGATGAAAGACAGAGGGTGAGGAGAAGGATGGCATCGTAAGCCATTTAGAGGAATGAATGAAGTAGGAGCTGCTGCTACTACTGCTGCTGTTACTGCAGTACATCATCAGCAATGCTGGAAGTTGATAACCGAGAGTTCAACATTTTCAAGCCAAAATTGGAAATCGAAAGCTTCAATGAGTGAAAAAGAATGAGAGAGAGAGGAAGTAGAAATGAAAAGAGACAACCAACTACTTTAGGCTAATACTACTACTACTACTACTCTCTCTCTATCGCTGTGTCATTTTACTAGCAATAAGGTCATGCCACAAGCTCGAGATATAATACCTATAGCTATGCAGCATGTCGGTAAATGTCCTAGCTGTGGCTTTGTCACATCTAACTGAACTGAAGTAGTGAATCGATTAGAAGAGTGGAATAGCACACAGAAGCATGTTCACCTGAAATAACCATTTATAACCAGTCCTTTTTTTTAAAAAAAAAAAAGGGACATGATGATAATTGAGTAGAAAAGTCATGAAAATGCAAAAATTTTTATTTTATGTTTAGATAAAAGTAATTAGCAATATATTACTGTCTAAATCTATTGCAAGTATCATTTAGAAATAGCAAATATGAGTATAAAAGATGTTAAACGATTGCAATGAATTAAATTAAATTTTAATTTAGAATAGGAAAGAAAAAGTTTATAAAGCACAAATTATAAAAACATAGGATGAAACGGATCATTTCATTGGTTAATTCGATGGTATTTTATCAAAATAAAGCACTTCAATAACATTGGATGAGTTGTGACGAAAAATAGGAAGGGCAAGGTGATGTTGTTGTTGCTGCTACTGCTACTACTACTACTACTGCGCCACAAAATGAGACTGGCAAGTTTGGAGCTGATGTTAGTTAGTGGCGGTGGCGGTGGTGGTGGTGGTGGTGGTGGTGGTGGTGGTGGTGGTGGTGATGTTGGTGACGAGAAATGGCGACCGAACGAACCATATAAACTGAGTCAAGCTCTCATCACCATCACTATCATCAACATCACATCACCACTACCACCAACCATCACCGCCACCTCCATCGCTACCACCACCACCGCCAGCAACCAAGCAGGACGGAATACTCAAGCGTTACAGACAGCACCCCTTCTCCACTGATAGCATCACCAGAGACCTCAGCTCCAACACATACACAAACATACGGACACACCCATATAAGACATGTTTGTCTGTTATGTGTGTGCATGTAGACGTATATATGTTTTGTGTATGTGTGTGTGTGTGTGTGTGTGTGTGTGTGTGTGTGTATGTTTGTGTGTTTACGAATGTTATGTACCATTTTCATTCATTCCTGCAGTCCGATAAAGAGGTAAGCAGTTGAGCGAAGCTAGCATTCAAGCATTGTGGAGAACTAAAGCGGTAATGGAATGGAATGGATGGAATTCCATTTTGCGCATTTACATTTATCACTGATCCATGATCTTATAAGGTCAATTCTGTGCATGGCTACATTTATTTTTGGTAAACTTTTATATGAAACAATATCGTATCAATAAATGAAATAAAATATAAATTAAAATTATCAGATATAAATTAGATCAAACTACTTAACTCTTTCTTCTCTTAAACACAAAAAGATTATAAAAGCTTAATTTTTTAACGATTTAATTAAAATGAACATAAATTATAATTTCATAAAATAAAATTCAGAAAATCAGAAATTGGTCGAAATTATCTGAAATCAAAAAATATGAGCTGTAATGATTGTAACAAAATGATAAGTAATCAGCAATTTATATTGTTACTTTTTTTTTTCGGGAAAATTTAACTGTAAAATATGCTATCAAACGATCATAGCACAATGCAGGATAATTGCTATATCAAATATTCAAAAAGATAAGGTGACAAGCTAAGAAGAATTAAAATTCTATGTGTCATCAAACTGAGTTACTTACTGTTTTCAATACGTAAAAGTGTCCGATGTCCGCCGCAGGATTCGAACCTGCGCCTACCGAAGTAGAATGCGACCTGAACGCATCGCCTTAGACCGCTCGGCCAGACGGACCCACCATCGACCTCTATTGGAGTGCTATTTGTGTAATTAAACTACTTTTTGCATTCAGGCAAGTTTTAAAGTTTCTTTTTTTTTTTTAAATTTTATGTTTGTACTGAAGTAAAAATTTCATAATACTGTAAGGAAGAAAAAGAAAAAAAAAATTTGTGAGAGATAGAAATTTGACAATGTGACAGTATGAAAAAGTAAGTGAAGAAAATTCAACTAAGCAATTACATTTAGCTCAAAATAGTTCCTTTTCTCATCAACAATTTAAAATACACTAAAAAAAAATGAAATTTCATTGGAAAAGATCTGTAAACTTTTAATTCATTCTAATATTCCATAATGTAACTCTAAAAGTTGTTCCGGTCTCTTACACAATTATTTAGCTGAAAGCTAAAGAGTATAATTTGGAGAGTATTTGCAAGCAGCAAAATTAAATTTATTCAGTGAATTAGTTAGTCTGAATTGTGTTGAGTGGGAGTAACATTTCTTTTTGAATTAAATGAAGAAGCATTCATCTCTTTATTTCTTTTATAAAAATTTTTGATAAATTCTGTTTAAATATGTGATATTTCAGCTAAATTGATAAGTAACACGGAATCGGAGCTTATAAGCTAACTAAGCATTTACGTTTAACGCAAAATGATTCCTTTTTCTCTTCCTATTATCAATAATTTAGAATACACTAAAATTTACTAATTTTAGGTATTATTAGTAATATTTTCAGTTTTCTGTAATCAGTATATTATTTATGTTTGATATTTGTTAAATAAAAAAAAAAAATTTTTTTTACTGAAAAATTTTCTAATTTTAGATATTATTAGTAATGACCGTTTCAACAGGTTTTTTGCTCCTTTTTTTGACAATGAAATTTGTTCGAAAATTTTTTTTTGATTCAATTTCAATGTTTTTAAATTTGACTTATCAAAATGACTGCAACTAATGCTTAATTAATTACACAATAATGTAATGCACTTAATTGATCGTATGTTTACAGAGCTATTTTTTGATCAGCTTTTGATTAGAAAATTGAATCATCAAAAAAAAAAAAAAAAAAAAACAATGAAATGATCATACTAATTGAGACAGAAATTGTTTATCGAAATATGATGCAATTCAGATTTGCTTCTTACTGTTTCTCTTTAAATGAATATTTAAAAGAGTATTGTTCACTTCAAATTTTTAGGATAAAATAAAATATTCATTTTTCCATTAATTTTCTCCATATTAAGACAAGTTTTTCATCAATAACTGATATAAATATCTTTTTTTTTTTCTAATGCTACCACTTAAATTTATTACTTCGTATTTTTTAAATTAATTTGAAAATATGATGACAAAAGCAATATGCATATTATACATTCATCGATTTTTAACCTTTTTTTTTTTCTTCACATTTATATATGATAGAATATTTGAGTATTTCTTGCTTAAATCAATGAGTTTATTTATCCTTTGAATTTTAATCCAAATTTCTTTCATATACAACCTGTTTCGTTCATTATATTAATATCACTTCAACCAGTTTCATTAATGACCAAAAATCATTGTAAATTTCTAGCATTCCGCTGATCTCTTTGTATTGAAAATGGAACAGAAATGAAATATATATATACATAGATAGAAAACAAACACTTTTCACTCAAAAAAAAATACTACATTAATAGCATAACAATTTTATTGTCATAAATAAGTATTTCCTTTTTTCTCCCTCTCTCTTTCTCTCCCTCTCCCTCTCTCTCTCTCTCTTTTTCCTCTCTCATGATGACATAAAAGTTACCTTATTAGAGTATTACACTAATTAGTAAATAAGTAGTAGTAATTAGATGAGAAAAAAACAAACAAACAAACAAACTATGTCATGCATGTTTACTTAGAAAGATTATTTGAGTATATTTTCAGCTTTCTAATTGCTGTAATTTGTTATTTATCTATAAGATATTAGTTAGAATTCGTCTGCTAATTTAAAATCAATTTGCATTTATAAACTGAATTATTTAATATTTAATGGCTTATTGGCTGTTAAGAAGAGATGAATTGAAATTATTTATAATCAAATGAGTGAATTTATTTCAATAAAATATTATAACACAGAATAAATCTAAAAAACATTTATTTACTTAGAATAATTTCTTTGGTATCAATCTTTATCATTCAAAATAACTTAGATAGCTAACATATAGAAAAACAACAATAAGGAAAAAAAAAAGAGAAATACTTGACTAATTGCAAAAAATCTGAGCGCATTGAAATAACATTATCAATTTATATTTATCACATTAACAAATTTTATAAATTGAAAATTTTTTGAAATTTCAAATATTTCAATATCGATTTTAAAATTGAAGAAGTAGAGATAGCTAGCTGTTTATTGAATTTATCAGATTTATTAACTAATTCATTAAGCTAATATATAAATTAATGTTTTTATCAATTTCAGATTTATTTCTTTGTCTTTTGTTCAACAAAATGATAATTTTATTGATAAAAATGCATTAACTGTTGAAACGCACAAGTTAACAATTCAATTTTATAATTTAATTTTAAAAGAAACATTAGCTTATTATTGTTAATAGAATGGGTAAAAAAGCAAAAGGATTATGTCTATGATGCATTTATTACTGTAAAAGTTTTGTTTATATTTTGTATTTAGAACCAATGAAATGCTATTGCAAGGATAAATGAATTATTTTTGAGTGTTCTGTAAGAAATTCGAAAGAGCTAGCTAAAAAAAAATTCTTTTCTATTATCACTACTCAAATTTATCAATTCTTCTAAATACATTTCTGAATGTCAAATTTTATCAAAACTTTTAATCATTTGTAAAGTTTGCATAATTTTTCACTTTTGCTCTGCAAGCTTCTAAAATGATTTTTGCTAATGTCACTAAGATTTAGAATGAAACAACAAACAAATTTTAAATGAATAAAAATCTCAATCATTCAGAATGATAGGAATTGATGAGAAAAATAGTAATTATTATTTAGAGTAAACTATCACAAAAGTCTAACTTCGCTCATTTATTCATATAAGCAAAGGCTTAATAATTTTTCGAAATAGTTTGCTTATATCAAAGCTTTTTATGATTTAATTGTTCGATTCCGAAATTCTTCCGAGAATTGCTTTTTTTTTTTCCACAATTTTATATTTTCAGATTTTGATGTAATTGCAAAGAAGTGTCATTTTCTTCTTGTTTGAGAAAAAAAAATTTCTCTTGCTTTCGTATCTTTAATAAATCATCTTTTTTTAAAATTTATTTTATGTACTTTTTTTTTTTCAAATTCCTTTAATTACAATTTATTAACAATTTTCAAATATTGCTGTTCTATTTAATTGTTGATTTTACTGTGATAATCATCCAAACTATTATATTTCGAGTTTCAAACAATGTTTAAGTTTTAAAAGAAAAGAAGAACTGTTTTGGCAGAAAAAATTCCTAATTATGATTAAAAGCTTTGCTATAAAAAGAAGAAAAGGACGAAACATTTTTCTAAAATTTTAAGCTTTTCTGACTATAGTAACTTTCAAATATTGCATACTATTTTTTTTTTTTTTTTTTACACTGTAATCGATTTCTCGACATAAACAAATGATGATCTATCGATGACACACTGATGCGAAATTCTTCGCTAAGATATTTTTAAGTTGTTAGTCTGTATGTTATTGTTGAGATGGGATATTTTGATTTGATTTTTTTTTTCTCATTTCAATAAACCAATCAAAACTCTTTTTTTCGTTGTTGATTGATTTTACGAAAGTGATAAAGAATCGCTTATCATGATTATACGGTTATTTTTGTAGAATTAAAAATCTTTATTTCAACGACTACTGTAAATTTGCAACTATTAGCTGAATTAGTGTAAGCTAGAACTTAAAACGAAATAATTGTGAAGTGAATTTATAATTTAAAAATAAATGTTAGAAATAGGATGTGATATTTAGTATGAAAGGAAGTGTTTAATTTATGCTTAACATTCTTTTATATCTGTAATTTAAGCTATGAATTTAATTTAACGATTATGTGGCACGTGAATTTGGCACAAATCACGTAAATATTTCGCTTTGTTTTATTTTAAAAATGAAAAATTTGGTCAAATTTTTAAAATCATATACTAAAAGTATGGCAAAATTAATCAAATGGTGGTAATCCTACTGTTTCAGGTTGAAATTCATTTAAACTTTTCAAAACAAATCGAATCATCTTCATGCAATCATCCGGTGGCTTTGAGTAACGAGAATCAGGAACCATAATTACTTGCATACCAGCAGCAATAGCTGCTCGAACACCATTAATGGAATCTTCAAATACTAAAACATTGGCTGCACTTTCTGGTTTTTTAACAAATCGTTGCATCGTAATTAAAAATGCATCTGGCGCTGGCTTACAACGTTTCAATGATGGATCATCTGCGAGAACCTAAAAATGTGCGGTAATTGAGATAGATAAGATTAAACAAAATTTGAAATTAATTAAATTTTCATTTCATTTAATCAAATTCTATGACATAACAAATATTTTCTTTTCAAGCTAACAAACGTGACCTGAAATTAATATGTTTGATAGAAATAAAACTAAACGTGACCTGAAATTAATATGTTTGATAGAAATAACACTTGTAATGATGGAATTTACTTACTCGAAGATTTATCAGTTGCAGTAATTCTTGCTGTTTCTGCATTTTAGTCTCAAATTCAAAAGTGTTTGAACCAGTGCAAAGTGCTATTGGTATTAAATGTTTAGCAAGATGTTTCACTAGACGCAATGCACCAGGTAATAATTTCGACTCAGGCAAATATTTACTTGCAAGCTCCAAATATTGCTTTCTATATTGCTCCAATGTTACCTTTCCAATTAAATCTTCCTAAATTTTATTCCCTCTATTACTTGAAATAAATAAATGTATTATCATAATAAGTTTGTAAATTTAATTTACTTAAGAGTTTAAATAAAATATAATAAAATCAAAAAGTGAATTTTTTCCATCTACCTTTACTAAAGAAAGAAA